AGCCTGGGCTACAGAGTGAAAGCCTGTCTCAAAGAACATACAAAGCAACAATAAACAGGGCTTGGGGAAGGGGATGTCCCAGTGGGTGGAGCAATTGCCTAACATATTTGGAGCCTGGCTTTCATTCCCATCGCCTCCTTAACTGGGTGTTGTGGTGCACGTCTATAATTCCAGAACTCAGGAGGCTGAAGCTTAGGAATTCAAGGACAGCCTGGGATATGTAGTAAGATCCCTGTCTTAAAAAAAAAAAAAAGAAGAAGAAGAAGGAGGAGGAGGAGGAAGAAGAAGAGGAGGCGGAGGAGGAGAAGTGAAAGAAGGGAAAGGAAGGAAGGAAGGAAGGAAGAAAGAAAGAAAGAAAGAAAGGAAGGAACCCACTCAGAACATAAAACTTGAAAAAACACTTTACTTTTCAATTGCATCATCAAAGAAAACCCTGGAGACCTGAAACAGCCGCTCAGCTGGAGTGTCTGCCCTGGGTATCTTGCTTAATGCCAGGGTTTGATTCCCAGCACCACATAAAGTCATAAAACTGGGCACAGTGGTACACACCTGTAATCACAGTCCAGTGGAGGCAAGACAATGAGGAGCTCAAGGTCCATTTTGTCCACATAGCGAATTGGAGGCAATAAGGCAATAATTGAAATCTTTTCTCAAAATAAACAACAGCCCCGTGTGATGGCACAGGCTTTGAAGCCCAGCACTCCAGACAGAGAAACAGACACATCTCTGAGGGTTTGAGGTTTGCCTTATTTACACAGTGAGTTCCAGGCTAGTCTAGGCAGCATAAGTAAGTAACTGTCTCAAAATAAATAAGGAAATGGGTTGTTGAATTGAAATACGATATGGCTAAGCAAGTCGTGCACGTCTACAATTCAGCATCACGTGAGACAGCGGGAAAGGAGGGTGGGTTGCTCACGCTCATCTGTGTAACAAATACGCCGAGCTTCCTGCCTGCTGCGGCTTCTCCATCGGAGCCCAGACCACCCGGTTCCAGCTTTTTTGTGTTCATGTGTCTGTGAGTTTGTCATCTCTGTATCCCCTAGTCCCTAGGTAAGTCATTGCCACCATGTTAGTTAAGCATGCTTAAAATAATTTCTAAGTGTTGTGTCCTGTGGGGGAATTCATTCCTTTTATTAACAAGGGCATCTTAGCTACTTCCATGACGTTCAAGCCAGTATTGCTCCAATGGGAGTGTTTTGTCTCCAATGGGCGTGTTTTGTCTCCAGTGGGCGTGTTTTGTCTCCAGTGGGCGTGTTTTGTCTCCAGTGGGCGTGTTTTGTCTCCACTGGGCGTGTTTTGTCAGGACTCTGGTTATTATAACTCGGTAAGGGCAAGACTGACGACTCCTAATCTACTTCAGGAGTATGCAGAAGTCCTTTCAGCTGTACGAATGCTGGAAGGACGCCCTATGAACAGCCAGGAAGAATGAGACTTCCAGGTCAATACCAGATGGATTCCCCCATGTTCTGTCACTTGAGTACATGGCATCTTCAGCAAAAAAATATTACCATCAAATTCTGGAGGGTAACCATTGACAGTAGCCTGACATGTTTGGGAACCTTTTGACCTCACGATCCAACATCTCTAAAAGAGATGACTCATTCCTGGCATGGGGCTTTTTATTGATTAGCCTGCGCTGTCTAGTAGGGCTTTGTTGTCCTGTTAACAGAGTAACTCCATCAAACTCTTCTTCTATGTGCATATCTGTGTAATATAGGAAGCTTCTACAGTAATGAGGTGCCATATGGCTTTTCCTAAAGTCTTTAGCATTAGTTGACCCTCCCCGTGTTCCCTCTTCTCCTCCGAATTGCCATCCCCCACCCATTTAATCCTTCCTGCTCCATTATTCCCCTTTACCTCTTTTTTTGTTTGTTTGTTTTTTGAGACAGGGTTTCTCTGTGTAGCCCTGGCCGTCCTGGAACTCACTCTGTAGACCAGGCTGGCCTCGAACTCAGAAATCCACCTGCCTCTGTCTCCCAAGTGCTGGGATTAAAGGCGTGCGCCACCACTGCCCGGTGAAAAGCACACACCTAAAGATTGTAATCTAATATCCACGAATGAATGAAAAAAAGCTGGGGTGTCTGTGTTTGGGGTCTGGGTGACTTCCCTTAGCATGATTGTTTCTGGCTCCATTCCTTGACCTGTGAGGCTCATAGTTTTATTTTTTCTTACCAGTTCAGAACTACCCATTGTGTAAATGTACCATATTCTCATTATCCGTTCATTAGCTGATGGGCATCCAGGCAGTTTCTATTTCCTGTCTGTTATGAATAGTACAGCAACAGACACAGGTGAGTGGGATCTCTGTATGAAGAGATGGTCCTCAGGGTGTATGCTCAGGAGTGGCAGAGGTGAGGCATGTGGTTGATCTATTTCCAGCTTCTTTTTTTTAAAGAATATTTATTTATTAATTTTATGTGAGTACACTGTAGCTGATTCAGACACACCAGAAGAGGGCGTCGGATCCCATTACAGATGGTTGTGAGCCACCATGTGGTTGCTGGAAATTGAACTCAGGACCTCTGGAAGAGCAGTCAGTGCTCTTAACCACTGAGCCATCTCTCTAGCCCCATTTTCAGCTTTTGGAGGAACCTCCACGCTGATTTCCATAGTGGCTATGCTGCTGGCACTCCCACCAGCAGCAAGTAAGTGTTCCCTGTCCCCACATCTATGCTAGCATTAAAAAAAATCTTAGCCTCCCTTCTGACTGAGAGCAAGAGAAAACCTCAGATTTTTAATTTGCAGTTCCCTGATGGCTAAGGATGTTGAATTTTTATAAGAATGTTTCCTGGCTGGTTTTGCTTCATCTTTTAGGAACTTCATGTTCAGGTACTTTCATGTCCCATTTGGGGATGGGGTGATTTTTTTTCTTTTATTTCTTTGTTTGTTTGTTTGTTCTGTCTTTTTGTTTTGTTTTGTTTTTCGAAACAGGGTTTCTCTGTGTAGCCCTGGCTGTCCTGGAACTTACTCTGTAGACCAGGCTGGCCTCAAACTCAGAAATCTGCCTGCCTCTGCCTCCCAAGTGCTGGGATTAAAGGCATGCGCCACCACTGCCCAGCTCCATGCCCCATTTTTAAAACTGGGTTATATTCCTGATGTTTTATTTTTTCAGTTCTTTGTATATTCTTGATAGTAACCCTGTCAGGGGTATAGCTTTTAAAGGTTGTTTACCCATTCTGAAGACTTCCTCTTGACTCAAATGATGATGTTCTTTACAAAAAAGTTTGTTAGTCTCATGAGGTTCCATTTATTGTTGGTCTTAATGCCTGGGTTATTGGGGTCCCATTCAGAAAGTCTTTCCTAGTGCCAATAATATTAATTGGATTTAAGGCCTGGTCCACAAAATGAAACCCATATTCGGCACCATTATCAAGGCCAAGAACCTGTGGGCAGGTGGGTGCGCCTACCACCACCAGTCTGCCAAATGGACATAGTATGAAATTGACCTTTTACTGTTACACCCATAGATAAATGCATCTCTTGGCTCTTATTAGAAAAGCTTCTATTTGTAGAAGATGGTGTGACTGACACAGAGGCCCACAACTAGCGGAATGTGGGCCATATATACCACACCCCTCCTCCCAGTGCTCAGGGACCACTGCAGAAGAGTCTGCACACATGACCTCACAGCAGTTATGGCAGAATAGACCAGACTTATGCAGGTCAAGGCAGACAAAAATCTCAGTATAAGTCAGAGAGATGGGCATGAAACCCCATTCCTACCTAAGAAGCTAGTGGTAATTGGTAGCTGTTGGGAACGAGGAAGCAATTTTCTTCAAGGGTATGGTCTCTGATACGGTGACCACATTCCAGGGGAAGGCTATATCCAAAAATAAATGGGCAACACAAAATGGAATTGGTGGGTTTAAAAAAAGAAAAAAAGACACAAAGTTGGGTGGGTAAGGAAGAAGAGCAGATCTGGGTGGCGAGGTTGGATATAATCAAAACACATTGCAAGAAATTCTCAAAGAATTCATTTTAAAAAAGAAAAGCTGGGGATCATAGCACATTTAATTCCAGCACCAGAGTGCAGAGGGCAGAGCGCGGAGGGCGGAGGGTAGAGGGCAGTAGATTTCTATGAGTTGAAGGTTAAGAAGACAGTGAGTTGCAGACCAGCCAAGGACTCCAAACAAAACAAAACAAACCATTTTAAAGGCTATTTTAAGCAAGCATGGTGGTGCATGTCTGTAATCTTTTAAAAGGCAAAGGCAGGAATTCAAGATCAGCCTCAGCTAGAGTCCAAAGCTAGTCTAAGAACTCTGCCTACAGGTTCAGTTCTAATAGCGCAGAACAAGTCTCGCTCTTCTCCGGGATCTTTGGCACCAGGGCATTTCGATCCCCTTGAGGAGAAGAGGAGAAAGGAAAGAATGGAAGGAAAGCGGGAAGAAGGAGAGAAAGGTGCTCCCCGTATACTGTTGCACGGACTTATACAAAGTAGAATCCTGTCCCAAGGACGGTGACCACGCGCGCCTTGGAGAAGTCATTTCCAGTCTCAGATCCAACATCTGGTAAATTGTTCTGAGCCTCGCTTTTCTTTTCTTTTCTTTTCTTTTTCTTTCTTTCTTTTTTTTTTTTTTTCTGTTTTTCGATACAGGGTTTCTCTGTGTAGCCCTGGCTGTCCTGGAACTCACTCTGTAGATCAGGCTGGCCTCGAACACAGAAATCCGCCTGCCTCTGCCTCCCAAGTGCTGGGATTAAAGGCGTGTGCCACCACCGCCCGACACGAGCCTCGCTTTTCAAGTCTGCAAAACGGACGTGTGACACTCTCGTCAAGCTAACGAGCTAGGACCAACTAGGCAACTCGGCGTTCAGACAGCAAGCTCCCGCCCACTCTCCGCCACGCGCAGGCGCACCCACCAGCGCACCTTTATACATGCGCAGTCGACCGGAAACACCACGGGAGACTGAGGTGAAGAGGCGGGGCCTACGCAGCGGGCCTGCGCTGTACGCCGCCGTGCGTCGCGAGGTTGGGCGGGACCGCGCAAGCGCGCAGCCCGTCCCGGTTCTGGAGCATAAACAAGAGTGGGGACGGGATGAGGCGGCAGTTGGCCCCCGCGCGGCGAGAGGCGGCGAGCGGGGCGACCAGCCGGACCAGACGTAGATCCTGAGTGTAGCGTGCTCCCGCGGACCGCCCGAGTTGAGCCGCGCGCGCTCCCGCCAAGGGGGGTCCGGGTCCGTCGCGCGCGCGCAGCCATGAACCTGGCGAGCCAGAGCGGAGAGGCCGGCGCCGGCCAGCTGCTGTTCGCCAACTTCAACCAGGATAACACGTAAGGCCGGGCTCGGGCCGGGCCGGGTCAGAGGTCAGGGCCTGTGTCGGGTTGAGGGGTATGGGCGGGGGGCGTGCTGAGCCCGCGCGGCCGCTCGAGCGCTGCTGCCTCCTGGACCGCAGGAGGTGATGGAACTCGGGGTGCTCCCATCCACCTGTCCTAAGACAAAGTTGGGAAGGAGCTGTGCACGCCGGTTTGTGCCTGTCACCCGGACTCGGTTTCGCGGCCGCCCCGGGCATCGCCCGCCTCCCTCTTTCTATACATCTCTATCCTCCTCAGTGCTTCTGTCGCTTTTCATGGCTTTTCTTTTTCTGTTTTCTTATTTCTTTTCTGCCGTTCTTTCCGGCAAGTAACTTGGTCTCCTCCAAACAAGGACCAAACGGCAATAGTAACCCCGGCCTTTGGTCTGAGACTTTGTCCTCAAGGGGTCTGGGAGCTTCAAAAAGGGGTGAGGTGGGCTATGCCTGAGGTAAAAAAACCTTCGTACCGGTCCTCTGTTCTACCAGACTGAACTGCTGTAGGTCCGGATCTGGTTCTTCTTCAAGGCTGCCTCCTTGGCATACCTGGAAGGTAGGTAATAGATGAGGCTTCTGAGGAAGGATGGATGAGTTATAGGACTGGAAGGGAGACGAGCCATCTTGGGAAGTGAGTAAGAGGAAGTGATGTAAGAGGAGGAGGAATGGGTCACTTGGCATCACACTGAGGAGTTGGTCGCTGCTGGCACAATAGCATTAGCAAGGCAGAGACTGAGGCTTTTGTTTTTCCTCAACTAAAAGTTAGATGGGAGAACGACAAGTACCTGTGTGGAGGGAGGTAAGCAACAGGTGCTCAGTTGGACCTTCACACAGTCTAAAGGAGGAGGACCTGTCCTGTGATTGGGTCACCTGGTCCAGCCACAAATGAGACCATGAAGTTCAGAAAGGGCTAGAGTCTGCCAGAATCTTAAAGTTGGTTAATAGTGGGATGGGCCAGGGGTAGGCTGTCTTCCCCCGAGCTCACTCACCTGGTGTTCTTTCTGTTGTACCACACTGGGTCTTTTCTACCTCAGAACAGAGTGCTAAAGACACTGAGTCTGGAAGTAGTCGTGGACCTGGGCACTGGAGAGATGGTTCAATGCATAAAGCACTTGTCAAACAACCCTGAGACCCAAATAAAAGCTAGGCAGCTATCTATAATCCTAGCGGATCCCTGACTAGTTAAATGAGCAGGGTCAGTGAGCTCTGGGGCTCAGGGATGAGACCCCCTGCTGTGGTAAATAAAGAGAGGACACCTGGCATCAACCACTGGCCTCCGCAGAAATGTATGCACACCGGTAGATGTGTGCCCCTCATACATTCAGGTTGCTAAAGATTGTGTCGCGCCCTAAAGCCAGCACAACCAAAGCTACAGGGACAACCTGTTGCAATTTGCCCAGTGAATAAGCAGGCACCATCCAGGTTGGAGGAGAGCATTTCCAACCAGTAGTGATTTGGCTTCTACACCATTAGGGTTTGAGGATCAACTATTAGGAAAACCTAATATTACAAGGCTTTACTTGCTTATTTTTAGACACCCCTCCCTCAGACCTGAACCCATTAGTTTAAGTTATAACTTAAAAACAAGACTTGCTGTGTCTTTTTTGACTTGCCAAAGAGATCTAGAAACCTAAGTTGGAAGGAATTCAGTACAGTGACTTCAGTGCATGTGAACTCAGGCTTGGTGACACACTCCTTTAATCCGGTGCTGGGAAGCAAAGGCTGGAAGGTCTCTTGAGTCCAAGGCCAGCCTGGTCTACAGAGTGAGTTCCAGGACAGTCAGGGCTACACAGAGAAACCCTGTCTCTCCTCCCACCCCCTAAAAAAGCTAATGCCCTACTAGCCTTGGATTCCTGGTGCTCTTGCACCTTGCAGTGCTGGAATTGCAGGTGTGTACCACCATGCCCAGCCAGCATCTTTTAAAAAAAGAACAGGTCAGGTGGTGGTGGCATACACCTTTAGTCCCATCAATTGGGAGGCAGAGGCAGGAGGATCTCTGAATCCAAGGCCAGCCTGGTCTGCATAACGAATTCCCGGATAGCCAGGACTGAATAGAGAGACCTTGTTTAAAGGGAGGTTGGGGAGGGGAACAACAAAAACAAGGGTCTGAGGCAGGAGAACTTGACTGTGGGTATTCAGTACCAATGTAAAAGCCAGGCAAGGGCTGTGGGAGGGTGGGGCATCTGTAACTCTAGGGCCGGTGTGGGTGTAGGAACAGAGGTAGGTAGGTTAGGTTGGTCATCCTCAAACCTTCTGGCCCACCAGTCCATCCAAAGAGAAATAATCTCCAGATTCATAAGAGACCTTGTCTTAGATAGCAAGATGGAGTGTGGTAAAGGAAGATGCCCATCTGGTCTGTAGCCTCCATGGACACATACATATACATGCACACAGGTATGCATCCACATGTTCAGAAATACATTAACATATACCACATGGACGTGTGAAAGGTTTTCAGCCACCCGTTGAACTTTGTGTGGAATCCATTTGCTGTGTTCAGGGATAGATGGGGGCCACTGTACGTTAAGAGTACCCGTCCATTATGTAGTAATTTCAATGCCTCGTTTAAGTGCTCAAATATTTATTGTACTCCAAACTACATTAGTGTCTTTTTTTCTCGTACTAGTAATATTATTTCACATCTTGAGAGGTTTTTCTTTTTATGCCTCTTATTCTAAAAGGGAGCCCAGTATGATCTGCTCTTTACTGTCTGGTTTTGTTTTTAAAGGAGAACAATGGGAAAGCCAGGAAGAGCAGCCCATCCTGGTTGTCGATTCCCACCTGTGTTTCTTTCTTTTCTTTTTTTTGTTTTTTTGTTTTTTGTTTTTTGTTTTTTGAGACAGGGTTTTTCTGTGTAGCCCTGGCTGTCCTGGAACTCACTCTGTAGACCAGGCTAGCCTCAAACTCTCAAACTCAGAAATCCGCCTGCCTCTGCCTCCTAAGTGCTGGGATTAAAGGTGTGCGCCACCACCGCCCAGCTCCCACCTGTGTTTCTTAAAGTGGCAGGTTTGTGTGGGAGCACTCTAGCTTTTCCAAGTTGAACTTAACCAGGGAACACCACACCCTACCCCCATGTTAGAAAGGGTCTAAAGGCATTAACTGCTTTCTCCCACTGAACTTCCTCCATTGCCAGGCGCCACTGTGGAAGGAACTATTCTCTATTTACCTGTAAATTGAAGGTAGCTTTCAAAGCCTTCAGCCTTAACTTGTTTGCCTCCTGTTTGCTTTGCAGAACAGATAGTTGAGAATAGGAGATTACCGCACCCGTTACTGCAGATTACTGTAGATGGACAGTCCCCACAGAACCTTGTGATCGTTCCAGGGCAACCTGGTTCCCAGTTTTGGTGTTTCTTAGGGAACATTATTAACTCCCTACAAAAATTGGCCAACGAGAGAACTCTGCTTCTGATACTCTGAAAGGCCTCAGGACTTCTGGTTCAGATCTGGAGCGGGGATGGACTGGTTTCTCCATGATTTGTCCTGGCTGTGGTCTTAATAGCACCTGTCAGATCATTGCAGCTGTGGGGCAGTCAGCTTCCTGTTTACAGTGGTGGCTTGTCCTACTCACCTACATAATCAAGTGTGACCTTTTCACAGTGAAGGTAATGATGGGAGGGCCTTTATAGACTGATGGCTGAGAAGCTAAGGGTCAGGTCTGCTACATGTTCTCATAGTGAAGTAGAAGTCTACCATCCACTTCAGGCTCATGTTTAAATTTAGTAATAGAGTTACCATTTCAAGATGGCGGTTCCTTCCCCATGCCCTCATGAAATAGCAAAAGGATGTTGCAACAAGCTTGACTCATGGGAGGGGAAGATGAGAAAGGAGTATATGTATGTTCCTGAGGAGGTCATGCATGTCAGATCCCCTTGTGCTGGAGTTACAGGCCTGTGAGTTACCTGTTGTGGGTGCTGGAAGTCGAACTCAGGTCCTCTGCAAGAGCAATACATGCTTTTAGCCACTGAGTCATTCACTCCAGCCTAAGCAAATACATCTGCTTGTTTGCTTGTGAGTGGGTCTTTTGTAGCTCAAGGCCAGCTTGGGCCTTGAACTTACTGTGCTGTGTGGCCATGGTTGGTCTTGAACTTGACAGAGCTTCCTACTGCATTTCCTCCCCAATGCCAGAGTTAAAGCTGGGCACCATTGCACCCTTAACACCTTTATTTTTTGAGACAGTCTCAATATGCAGCCTCAGTTGGCCTTGAGCTGGAGGTCCTCCAGCTCCTCCTCCATCCCTCTTGCAGTCTGTCTTCCCCTTTGTCAATAAGGATCACATTGGACAACCAGGGATTGAACTCAGGGCTTTGCACGTGCTGGCCAGGCAAGTGCTCCACTAATGGCTACATCCCTGGGCCTGGGTTAACTTAATAAGGCATAAGCATTTATTTCTAATAGATAAATCTCACCTCTCATTGGGTTCTGCCTTTTCCATGAGTATAAATGTCTGCATTTTCTGTCAAGAGAACCTTCCCAGGAGGTGTATGTGTGAGCCTTAGTGTATCTAATGAAATGTCCCACTGCCCTGGGGCTTTAGGGCCAGTCCTGCCCAGCAATGCTCTGACGTGCTTCACCCTAGATGACTTGCAGTGTCATTTAACTACTTACCTTCCCAAGTCACAGTCAGCTTGGTAGGTTTTGGCTTTAAAACCCTAGCCCAGGTATTTAATACTCTAATTAGTTCTGTGTATCTAGAACATCAAAAAGATTCATGGGGAGCATTGCTCGCTGAGAGCCAAGCCCCCTCCCTGGAACCCAGAATCCACTTTCATGCTTAGATAAGGACCTCCCTAAAGCTCATTTTGTGATTTCCAAGCAAACAAGAAATGAGAAGCGGTGGTCATGAGGAAAAACTGGTAGCTGTCTGTAAGGGTAGGAGTTTGTTTGGGGATTGGTGTTTTTATTTTTCTGCTGGAGACTGAACCCAGCATAAAAATCACATCACACATGCTAACGGTTCCAGAAAATATTTTTGTAAATTATGGTCAGGGGGCTGGAGAGATGGCTCAGGAAGTTAAGAGCACTTAGTGCTCTTGCAGAGGACCAAGACCTGTTTCCTAGGACCCATGAGGCGGCTCATGAGCACCTGTTACTCAGGTTTCAGGGGTCCAGCACCCTGTTCGGCTGTCCTGGCTCCTGTAACTGTGTAGTGTACATATATACATTCAGATGCATTTACGTAGAATTACATGTGTATCTCACATGTTCTGACCATCTGATGTGATATACACAAAACTTTGAGCCCAAAATGAATTTGCCAAAGCAGGCATACTGGTTCATGTCTATGCCAGTACTCAGGAAGTCTGAGGCAGGGGGATTAAAGTCCCAGGCCAGCCTCATCTACTTAGTGAGATTCTGTTTCAAATAAGCATAAAAACAAAGTGTCCTTTGGTTTTAATAACCAGGAAAGTTTTCTTTGGGGGACTCTTGTTTGCCGAGGACCTGTGCTCGCTCACAGCTGGGGATGCGGTGGATGCTCACATAGATGCTTAATATAAATGAAAATCTTAAAGACCACACAGGAAAATGGACAACTTAGGAATGATTTTGTCTTACTTTCTTTGTGCTTCTTGGTATTCTGGTTGTTTTGTTTTTGCTTTGAGACAGGGACTCACTATGAGGCCAGGTTGGCCTTGAACTCCTGGTACTCCTACTTCTACCTCCCAAGGGCCAGGGTGGTTTGTGTTTTAAAATCAGAAGCAGTCGAGGTAAGCGATTAAAATTTGCTTACAGTAGCAAACTTTTTTTATTGTCTGGAAAATACTTTCTTGAATGCCAGTTTGCCCAGAGTTCCTAGCTGCTGAGATTTTATTTCCAACTTTTCTGGAGAGTTGTTTGTTTTGTTCCTTTTTTTTTTTTTTTTAAATTTACATTGATACACATCTGACTTGCCTCGTAGAGCGGCTGGATCCCTAAGTGCTGGGACTAAGGGTGTGCACCACCACAGCCACCTGTTACTACTCACGGTGTGTCCAGTCTCTGTACCTGAGCACTTGGTTGAAAGAACTCAGTGTAGTGACGTCTTGCAAAGACAAACCATATCGGCTGGTGGAGAGTGGCTGTGGTCCTCAGGTCTCCCCAGCACTCACAGAGCCTTCAGTCTGCAAGTGCGTGGCTTTCTTTTTCCTTTTCCCTTTTGGTGATTTGAATCAGGGCCTTATGTAGACCAGGCTGCCTTTGAATTTGGTATATAGCCTAGGAGGACCTCGAATTTCTGATCTTCCAGCCTCTGCCTCCCAGGTGCTGAGATTGCATGTGCTGCCATACCCAGGTTTAAGAATGCATTCCACCTCTCTGTGGGAAGGCCAGAAATGTCAAGTGATGAGCTGATTGTTAGTGTAGCCTCAGGTGTCTTCCTGGGATACAAATACAAATGGGTGGCAGTCACAAAGATGTGTTTTCATCTTTTTTCAGCATTAAACCAAAACCAGCCCTAGTGTCTGAACCTATTGTGTCTCCTTGCTTCTCCCTAGTCACCCTTTGTGCTGGGGAAAGCTGTGTGTGCTGCTTTCTCTTGCTTCCTTGCTTAGTTGCATTCTTGGGATAGAATTTTCTGATCAGGACTTTCTTCATTTGGTGTCACCAAGGTTTTGTGCTCTGAGCTTTTTAGCCAGAGCTGGGAGTTGGTAAACATGGCCACTCAAACATAAGCCTTTTTCCATCTGAGGCAGTGATTCTCAGCCTTCCTAATGATGCGACCCTTAATACAGTTCCTCATGGTGTGGTGACCCCCAACCATAAAATTATTTCCATTGCTACTTCATAACTGTAATTATGCTACAGTGGATCGTGATGTTATGAATCTGATAATGTGACCCCAAAAGGGTAGAGAGCCACTGGTTGAGAACCAATGGTCTAAGGCAGCAAAGTCTTCCAGTCCCAGGGTCTGAGTAGTTCCTTGGTGCATGCCATTTCTACCCCACCTCCTGGCCACAACACCTTACGAGAGTGCTTAAGACAGTGAAAGTCAGTCCTGAGACAAGGACGGACACCCAGCCCAGGTTGTAAGTATCATTGCTCAGAGTGTAGACTGCAGTATGGTTTACTGGCAGACTCATACGTGCCATATCAGCCGTGCGTGTCTGCAATCACTGAGTGACAGCTGATTACTCTTCAGTTAGGGCTCAAAATGAATTGTGTTCATTTGTTTTTACTATTTTAATCTTTTCCCACGCTTTATGGTGGGGAGGGATAACTGACTAATATATTTAAGGTCTACAACTGGGTACCTTCATACACATATACATGAACTGAAAGACCATTGGGGCTGAGGGGATGGCTCAGAGGGTAAAAAACACATGCTGTACAAGTGTGAGGGAGAGGTTAGATCCCATAAACACATGTCAAGCCAGACATGGCCCGTCTTCCTGAGATTGGAAGGGAGGCGACACAGGAGTATTCCTGGATGCTTACAGGCCAGCTAGCCTGCAGTATGCAGTTGTGATTAGTAAGACTCCTGTCTCAATGGCCATGCCATATGCTTTACAGAATTCTGGCTTATAGTCAAATCCCTGATACAGACCCATGAGATAACTCAGACCATGCTGGGGATATCTGATAGGAACCTTGGTGACTGGTGAGTAGAGTGGGCACTGGTTTATGCATGATTGCTGTGTACGTGCGTCAGCTCTTACTTCTGAATTTGGCTTTTTTACAGGTCCCTAGCTGTTGGTAGTAAGTCCGGGTATAAGTTTTTCTCCCTTTCTTCTGTGGATAAGCTGGAACAGATCTATGAATGCAGTAAGTGCTTGCTTTATTTTCCCCTTGTTAAACAAAGTAGACCTATTGATCTAGAATTGGAATGCAATCTTTACACCAACACTGGGCAGTTCAAGTCCATACAGCCCTGGGCCAGTCCTATTCCACCCTAGCCACCCCAGGAACTCATAGCTAGGGACTGACCATCTAGGTATTCTTCTAGATCTCTGGATGTTTGTGTATAATTAGTGTATTTTTAGGGTTGTGTGTCTGGGCTTTCAGGACCTGACATCTCACCATATGTAATCTTATCATTTCTCACACTCTCCCCCCCAATACCATTTAGACTGCATTACTGTCATAAAGGGGTCCTAGAAAATGGAACTGTTCCAGTCCCATAGAAATGCTTTCCTTTGGTCAGTTTTTTGGTGGTGGTCTGTGTATTGGGATAGCAGAAGGGCCACAAGCTGGGGCTTCTGAAAACGAAGGAATGCCTCTGTAGGACCGTGGTCAGGACTGGAAGTTAATGACCATAAAACATCATTTGGGCTAGAGAAGTGGTTCAGTGGTTCAGAGCACTGATTACTCTTTCAGATGACCTGGATTTAGTTCCAGGAACCTGAATGGTAACTCTCAGCCATCTGTAACTCCAGTACAAGAGATCTATCACCCACTTCTGACATGTGTAGACACCAGGCACCCACATGATACACACACACATAAGTCCAAGTGAAACACTCATACACATAAATAAAATTCATTAGAATAATTTTTAGAGTGCTGTGGGGGTATGGAGGCCAGAGGCAACAAGCAGTCTTTCTCAAATACTCTGCACACTTATGTTTTGTATTTGTATTTTTTTTGTTGTTGTTGTTTAGGACTGTGTCTCTCACTGAACCTAGAGCTTTCGCATAGAGCGAGACTGGATGTTCAGTGAGTGCCAAGGTTCTGCCTGTTTGCCTTGCCCACACATGAGCTAAGCCACACAGCTTTTTACATGGGTCTGGGGATCTGAACTCAGATCCTCTTGGTTGCCTGGCAACTACATTACCTACTGAGATGTTCCTAACCCCTAGACATTATTAAATGACAGTTTTTTCTTATTACACTTTATTTATTTAGTGTGTAACCTCAAATATGCACATGCGTCACCACACAAGCATGAAGGTTAGAGGACAACTTACAGAAGTCTGTTTTTTCTTCCCTCTATTTGGGTCCCAGGTCAAACTCAGCTCTGGTAGCAAACAGTTTTACCCACTGAGCCATCTTGCCTGCTTTAATACTTTTAAAGTATTAAAAAGATGTAGGGGCCCTCACTGGACAGATGGCTCAGTGATTAAAAATACTTACTGCTCTTGCAGAGGGCCTGCGTTTGGTTCCCAGCACCCACATCAGGAGGCTCACAGTTGCCTGCGACTCCAGTTTCAGAGGATCTAACACTTTATTCTGTTTCCTGTGGACATGCAGGTACACACAGTACACATGTTAAAATGGGTTTTTTACTATTAAAAACAAAATTGTGACCATGTGGTGGCATTTGCCTTTAAATTCAGCACCTGGGAGGCTGAGGCAGTTAGATCTGAGTTCAGGGTCAGCCACAGCTATATGATCAGACCCTATATCAAAACAAAACAAAAACAACAAAACCTCATGTCCATTTGGGTGCAAATGTCTCATCATGTGAGTGTAGAGATCAGAGCACAGCCTGTGGGAATGTGGGTCCCAGGATTGCACAGCTTGTCGGTCTGGGCAGCAGGTGCCTTTACCTGCTGAGATTCTTGCAGCCCCTCCCCCGTATGCCATTGTTAAGGGGAGCTCACTTTGAATTGACAGGCATCTGTGAGATACAGCCTCTGTCAGATACCACAGCTAGAATATTACTATTCTTTCCATTCCTGCAGTTTTACTTGTACCTGCGTGTGTGTAATTCTGTGATGCTTTAGCACCGTAGAGTCCTGTATCCACCAAGACCCTGATAAAACTCCTCTCACCTAGAGCAGTGGTTCTCACCTTCCTAAGGTGTAGCCCTTTAACACAGTTCCTCATGTGTGGTGACCCCCAACCATACAATTCATGTGTTGCTACTTCATAACCATAATTTTCCTACTGTTATGAATGATAATGTAAACATCTGTGTTGTCTTATCATCTTAGGTGACCCTGTGAAAGGTTTTTTTGACACCCCCCCCAAGGGGGTCAAGACCCACAGGTTAAGAACGGCCAGTATAGAAAGATCCTTAGGTTAAAGTTAGGTGCAGTGACTCATCTGTAATCCCTGTACTTAGGAAGACTGTGTTCTCTGTCAGCCTGGATACAGAGTGCGACTCTGTCTGGAAAAAAAAAAAAAGCAAAATAATACTAACCAATACAAATAAAAATCCCTTCAGGTTGACAGCCCTCCCTCCCTATGTTCTCCCACCTGTCACCTGATCTACCTCAGCTTCCTGAGTGCTGGACTCGCCAGCTTTGAAAGTCGTGTTGCTCAGGTTGTTTGTCTGGTTACTACTGAGCTTCCTGAAGCCCAACTAACTAGGAAGAACAAATGTATTTAAGTCAGTTTAGGAGCTCAAGGGCATGACTGTTTGAGCTCAGTCAGGCTCTAACACTTGACCCCACAGGCAAGAGGGTGGGAGCACTGATCACAGCTGGAGACAGGAAGCCTAGGTGGGGGCACAACCCTGGTGACAGGTTGTCTTTTCTGTTTGTTTCGCCTGCAAACCTGTATGGACAGTGTCCCCTGGAACTGAAGTTATGGCTGGTTCTGAGTTGTCATATGAGTGCTGGGAATGGAACCCAGGTACTCTGAAGTGTATATGGGCTCTGGGGCTTCAGACTTGGGCCCTCTCAGCTGTGAGACAAATGCCTTACCAGCTGAGCCATCCCATAGTGTGTGATTGGCTTTTCGGTCAGCACAGTTCCTGAGAAGTGACCCAAGTGTGACGATAATTTTGCTTTTTTTGTTGGGGAGCAGTAGTTCATAGCTTAACTGTTAGCCCAAGAAGTGACCCAAGTGTGATGATAATTTTGCTTTTTTTGTTGGGGAGCAGTAGTTCACAGCTTAACTGTTAGCCCATGGGAAGATGGACAGAGTCTCTCTCTGGACTGTTGTTTAAAGTAAAGCCGCAGTGAGCGTCCATTTCTTGAAGATGAGTGCCCAAGAGTACAATTGTGTGGTAACTGCACATAGAGTTTTTTTATGAAGCAGTGGGACAGAGTGATCAGGGAGGGGTTCAGGTTCATGCTTAGCTAAAGAGAGTTTAAGTGCCAACTTGGTTACTTCTGCAGCAACAAAACAGACAAGAGACAGCCTGTCTGTGGACATACTTCCTGGGCGGCTGTGCCTCATTCACTAATGATGTAAGGCCATCTGAGTATTGACTGTACTGTGGACCTGTCCTCTCAGATATGTGCGACCCTGTCTCATAGTTAATTTGTGTTTCCTTGATGGTGGTGTTGAGACAGTCTATGTGTAGACCGAGCTGGCCTCAAACTCAGAGGTCTGCCTATTAGTGCCTGGGTAGTTAGTGCCCTGTTAGTGTCCACTAAACCTGACTTTGCTTTTTTTTTTTTTTTTTCCTGAGATATGCTAGCCTCAATTCTCATTCCTGTTTTCCAAGGGCTGAGGTTTCAGTTCAATATCAAGCACATTTTGGCGTCTGTCTCCTACTCTCAGCTTTTTCTCCACTCTTCTTTGGTTTAAGATTAGTCTCAGCCCAGGGTGTCCTTGAACGTACTTTGTAGTCAAGGATGGCCCTAACTTGGCTTAAGTGAAGTTGCATTCTGTCTTGCAAACTATTCTGATTGTTGAAGAAGAGTGGCAGGTACCTAGTGACAGCTGCTTCTAAGTAGAGGGGCCCAGAAGTGACTCAAGCATGAGGCTGGAGACTCTGGGGAACAGACAGATAACTAGTACCAAGCCCTTAGCATAAGTCGAGGAGGACACTGAGTACATCTTGGAATTCCAGAGTCCTGGAAACCAGGAAGGTAGAAGGCCCCCTCCCTGCTGGAGGTCAGGTGCTGCAGGTGCCCTTGACTCTAGAATAGAGTTTGTCTGACAGACCCTTCTGCATCACCTTGGTTGTTACTTCCTCAAAGATGATTACCCACTGGGAGAGAGTGGCCACCAGCATTAGAGGCACTCCCTGGTCCTGACCTCTTTGTCCCACTGCCTCCTAGACGTTACTTATTTATGTTCTCCCTTGGCTTTTACCACCGGTGGCTAAAGTGTGATCAAGTCTCTAGTGAATGAGAGTACAGTGTCGCACTGTTTGGTTCTGGTGTCAGTGGCTATATGTGAATCATGGTTCTCTCTGTATTGGGAGGCTTGGTGTGTAGAGTGCAAAGGAATGCCAGAACCCAGTCCTCATTTGCCTCTGCCTGAACTTCCTGACTGGCTTTGGTGGGAACAGAGTATGTGGTCTTGATAGCATCTGCCAGTGTGGGAAGGTAGCTTGCCAACTTCTGTGTCCCCTTAGTGAACTTTTTTCAATCTTTCTCTCCCCCTCCCCTTTTTCTCTCTCTCTTTCTTTGATTTTTTTGAAACAGAGTTTCTTGTGTAGCTCTGACTGTCCTGGAACTCGGCCCTGTAGACTAGACTGGCCTAGAACTCAGATCTGCCTGCCTCTGCTTCTCGAGTGCTGGGATTAAGGCATGTACCTCCCAGGGTAAATTTGGATTCTTAAAAATAGATGCTGAAGCAGACAAAGAACATTCCAGTTAATACTTACAAATTTGTGCTTTTTTATTTGATTCAAGCAGGGGTGGGAAGTCTTGGAATCTGTTCTCCTTCCACCTTTTTGTGGTTTGTGAAGCTTGAACTGTGGTCTCCAGGCTGGTGGAGCCAGCACCTTTACCTGCTGGGCTCTCTGGGTGGCTCCATTTGAGTTCATCCTCCACCCAGAAGCCACTGGGTAGATATGCCCCTACAGTGCTGACCACCTCTCCTCACATAGGGGCAGGCGTCCTGGAAAACCAGCTCATCTCTGAGTGAATGTCAGAGTTGTCTATCACTCTTCTGCAAGTGGAGTGAAGAATCTTACTTTA